AGTGTCCATCTATATTACAAAAGTATTGTCTAATTTATTGAAGCTTGTAGGGAATGGGGCATCACAAGGGATTGGGGAGCCGTTTGGGGAACATCTGTAACGGTTCCCGTTACAATTAGCACTAGTTAACTTAGATAATATATTTTGTAATCTTTTTGCAAAGACAAAGGCAATAATTTGGTAATCTGTGTTCGTTAAACTAATCGGTCTATAATTTTTTAAAATATTTTTTTCACCCTTTTTATAAATCAGTGATATAACAGAGAGTTTTTGTGAGTAAGACAATTCACCTTTATCAAATATATCTTTAAGGGCTTTATAAAAGAAGGGCCTAATTTTTCCCCAAAAACATTGATAAAATTCACAAGGGAGGCCATCTAGTCCAGGTGATTTTTCTTTTTTCATGTTATATGCAGCTTCCTTACACTCATCATATGTTGGAAATTCTTCTAGTAATATTTTATCTTCTTCACTTAATTTAGGGATATCTTCTATCTCTGATAAATATTTTTCAATTTTTTCGTTTGAAATGTCTTTACTCGTGTAAAGATCACTATAGAAAGAGTACACTTCACCTAAAATGGCATTAGTTTTACTGATTTTATTCCCTTCTCTTGTTTTTATTTCTTTAATTATGTTTGAAGATTGGTTGGTATTCAGGGTGTCAAAAGTTAGTCACGTCGAAAAGTGACGTTGATCATGTGTGGTAGAAATTGAACTCCAACAAGCTTAGTATTCTGGCATAACCAAGTGAGGATCGTTCCTTATGTATAGATCCATTTACAATATCATATGCATTGAAAGCAGCTGTCCATGACATTGTAACGTCATATAAACAAGACGGGCTTAAGTCCTTTCTTAACTCCAGGCAATCTCATCAAGATTACATGTAAGTGTATGAGATAAAGAGAGAGCGGACAATGACAAACAATAACGTTGTTGGACGTCAAGAAACTAAACGGCGACAGCGCTGGGTGATCATATAATATCTTTTTTTTAATTTTAGAATAATATTGGCAAATTAACAACGTACCAAGCTAAAATTTTCAACATTTCTTAAACTTTTCTTGTTTTATGCTTCTTATAAATTTTGTAAGCACAGACTACATAGTAATAATTTTATCGCATCAGTCCAAAAACTTTTTGATGACCACTCGTATTTCTCAAAAGTTAATGATTTTTTAAACAATCTATAATTCAGACTTTTTGGTGAATTATACAAGTCACTATACCACAGTTGCTTAAATTGATCTACAAGAACATTTTGCACCTTTTTCTTTAACAATGTAATATGAACAGAGTTTTGTTGCTATACATAAGCAAGTCCACAATCGTTCAAAAATATTTTTAACAGCATAACACCATGGTGTAATATAATTTTTTAACACAGTCATATAATAATTTTGATGACATTGTAGTACCTTGTGATACAAGTTTTGCCAAGAAAGAAATCATACGAGTTTTAACATTAATACATAAAGAATATCTACGAAGTCCTCCTCATACCATAAAATTAGGTGTGAAAGACCCAAGGTTTAAAATAAAAATGTTTACAAAATTTTTGATGAAGTCTTTTAACACGAGTGATATTACTAAATCCCCATACTTCACAACCGTATAACAAAATTGGTTTCACTATTTTGTCAAACTTACAATGTATTGAAAGATAATGTTTTCCAACATTTTCCAAGAACACCATACATTGCTTTTGTAGCTTTTTCATGCATTATTTTAATATTCAAATTGAAAGATCCAGTTTCACTGAATGTTACTCCTAAATATTTAATTTTTTTAGCAATTCCAATGGGACGCCTTCAAAATTAAAGGAAGTATTAGTACTTGTTTTACCTTTACCAAATGTAACAATTTTTGTTTTAGTACTATTAACCTTACAGTGCATTTTTTTTTTACAGTACAATGTATTCAGAGAACATCCCAAGCTGATGTTGAAGATTTTCAGGGGACTCCAATAATAGAATAGTATCATCTGCATAGCGTAAAACATAAATATTTAGTTCATCTTCAATTTTCTCCGATAGATTTTTCACTTTTCATACCTTTTACATTTTTGTCAAACACAAAACCTTCAAGATCATTCAAATACTTTGAAAATAAAAAAAAATGGTGATAAATTATCACCTTGTCTTACTCCAGCGGAACATGTAAACATTTCTGATGATGCTCCATTAACTACAACTCTTGATTTTATACCCTTATACACATTGATTATAACTTTAAATCATTTGCCATCTATATCTATTAATAAAATTTAATTCCAGAGACCTAATCGCCAGAGGGTTGATCATCAGCTCTACACTTTCTATAATATTCATTTTTAAACATCAATATAACTTCAGCTGGATTTTGCACATCTGCAAAAAGTGTGTAAAACGACAGTATCTTGATTTCTGACACATATTTTATAAAATCAATATTGGCTATGCAATAATCAACAACACTTGATGTTTACAAGTATATGCTCCATTATCATCACTTCTTTATCTACCATTGAGCCTAAAAATATTACACCGTTTACACACATCTAGGAGCTTTCTTCCGTATTGATTAATAACTATATCCTTGGATTTTCTCTCTATAGCAAAATCATATTTTTTCTAATTGATTTGCATCAACAAACTCTTCAAGTGAAATATTTTCATCAATTAAAGGAGTTGCAGTTTCTGAATATTTTAAGTCACCAATTAAACATATGCATTTATGTTCGATTGCTATGTTTGACATTTCTCTTTCGAGTTCATAAAAAATTTCAACAAAAGAAAAGCGAGAATTCAAGGGTGGTATGTAAACTGTACATACTATCAAATCATTTATGTTACCCATTATTTTCCTGCAATTTAAATCCACAATACATTCTCGCATTCGTTATTAATAACAGTTGCATGTTTGGCTAAATAATTTCAATTATATAGACTATTACACCATCAGACTTTTGAACTGCTAATTTTGACCTATGTTTACTAAATGCCATGAAATTGGGAATATCGATAATGTTCGATTCATCAGTTTTTGTTTCTGTTAAACTAACAATATCATACTGGTTGATAAATACAATATACATGTATTCTACAATTTGAAGTTTAGATAGTAATCCACAAACATTCAAACCATTTCTAATTCAGAATTGCTTCGTAGTCCTGGAGAGGAGAGAGAGTTGATTTCAGCATGCTCAGTGTTTACACATACGGTGTTTTGCAGTGTGTACACGCAGGTCACGTCCTTGATGACACGCCCTCTATGTATAGAGTGGGTATATTGCTCTCTTTGATATTCCTAGTCTTCTGTGTTTGCAACGCGTAATTTTGGGTTGCTTTCGGAGGGCGGTGCGACGTTCATGTATAGGGTTGATCTATATTTAGAAGAAGGTCCCTGATTAGTTCATTCCATGGGGATTGCAGCTGTATTCAGGCTACGATTAGGCACCAGTCTACCATCAGGCGGTGCTTCTGATGGATAAACCGAACACCATCAATGAAGAGTTTGTCTGCAACCATCACTGCTCTTTTGTTCTGTCTTTTTGCGTGTTTATAATGTGGATACAGGAGCTTCCTTCGATGATCGTTAATAGTTTTTTTGGAAACTGTTCATTAACCCCGAATGGCTTCTGAAATAATATGGCGGGGGACACTCTTTTTACTCTTTCGTGATCTTTAAACAGCACAAATTTTGCAATAATTGGGCGTTGTTTGTCTTGAGTTTTCCTCCCTAGTCTTTGTACCCTGTGGAACTGGATTTCCTCCTCAATTTCCATTTCATCCTTGATAAAGTTTTTCAAAACTGCCTCAGTATCTTCCTCTTGAGCCTCTGGAATTCCATCAAAAATCAGATTTTCACGCATTGTGCGCATCTGTAGGTCCAAGTGTCGCTCATTTAGATCAAATAAATCGCTTTTTCACGATCTGGAGCTCATATATTACAGTCTTGTTCTCTTTTTCTGAGCTGTACAACTGATTCATTAATTCTATTAACTTCACTCCGCTGATCATCATACTGTTTGATTAAAAATTCAGACCTTCATGCACGTCACTTACTTTAGATTTCATTTCCTTTAGCTTATTGTTTGTAGTCATCACATTTTTTTTTCTAATTCTCCTAGCCTTTAGTCAGTAGTAGTGTTGATCCTCCAATGGTTTTAGGTTTTATTTAAGGTGGTTCGAACCTGTACATGTGGCATAAGTAATTGGATTTAAAAAAAAAAATTGTATGAATGATGCACAAGGATTTCCTGACTTAATTGAGAAAATTGCTATCTGGGTCAGTGAGTTAAATTCCATGGCAACGGCCTCTGAATATGACAATATTGAAGTTGCACAGTTGAATAAAAGAGGGAAAGAAAATATAATCAGTCATTTTGATAAATGTATTAATTCAGAGGCCGGCGTGATGCATTGATGGCTGGTCGTATGATGAGAAGATTGACTGGTCGATTAGATATTGGACCGTTTTGACGTTGTTTCTAACGTCACATTGTATTCCTCAGCGTAGGCGGGTCAACTTTTAAGTTGGTATAAGACGGTCTTTGAATTCACCAAGGTATTATCAGGTAAACAATGGTTTCAAGAAAGTCTTACTCCAAATATATTCTCAGATCTTTTCTTTTTTATCTTTGTAACTGCCTGTGTTGTCTCGCTCTTTCTGTTATTTTATACTTTTTTTTTCTTTTTTCGGGTGATAATATATATACATGTATATATATATATATATATATATATATATATATATATATATATATATATATATATATATAAGCACTTGCGAAAGTTTCTGATGTGATAATAACTCTCAGAGAAATACTTGTTTTTATTTTTTATCACAAAGGCAACAGGTAAAAGTATACGACTTTCTTTGGTATAAGTTAATTAATCAACACATATATAAAGTGTCTGCAAAAAGAGCTACTTCATGAAAATATCAACGTCTGTAGTTAAAACGCAACATGGTTTTGGTAAATGATAATTCTTTTCATGCATGTTAGTCACAATTTAAAAGAATATGAATATCAGCACTGACACCACCGTCAAAATATGTGGAAAAATGTTAGATCCGCCATTTGTTTCTCTTCTCATCTGGTTTATCATGTCCTCTCGCAGAATCTCAAGGTCACATGACTCAATCTTCGAATAAAATGTAAGCACATCAACATTTTTCGACAGCCGTGCAAACCATTTCATCGACTCCCCAATATCACCCTGCATACAAGGATGGAGTTTGATTTCCTTGACAACTTCCTTGCATTCTTCTAAACACTTAGATAATGGAAGACAGCGTTCATCGATCTTACGGTAGATTTCCACCATGTCAGGATGGGAGGTGTTTGAGAAAACGGTTCTATCACAGCCATTAATGACCTGATTTGAGTATAATTTTATTAAAGAAATACCATTCCAGCTTACGCAGTACGGAACTCTAATGTTTGTTATTGGGTGAACGGTGAGAAAACCGTAGCACATCTCATCGGAAGTAGCATCGCCTTGGAATGTAGTAAAGGATTTTGACGATGATTTAAACACGCATTTTGTTCTGAGTTCATCCCCTGGCAAAACTTCTATAGATGAATCGTACCTAGAAACATGAAATAGCTCTCAATTTTTGTACATTAGATAAGGGAGAGACGAATAAATCACTGCTTGGAAGAGAGTGCTGAATGAACTATTTGCGGTTAAGTGAGAGAGGGAGATCAGAACTTAAAGAAGTAATATTATATTATTCTCATAAAAAGGAATACTCCTCTGTAGGAATGATACTCTACAACTGATGGTTAATATGTGATTCTATTTTAATAACCATAATTCGTCTCATATATATTGCAACAAATGCATGTACTTAATTTTTGTATTTTTTATCTCTATCAAATGCCTAAAATTGTCAAATGAACAGAAAAAAAAATTAAATGAACAGAGTGTTGCTTTATCTAAAAACAGAGTTGTGCTTACTCTAAAAATCGGGGTCGATCGTAGCTGTAGTCGGGTTCGTTAGTCAGGGTTTTAATTTTGACCCCATTCCTGTACTGGTCGATGTATTCTTCTCGGCCTGCAATAAGGCAAATCATGAACAAGAAAAAAAAACTGAATATCTATAGCTTGCCACTTCCTTGATCTGTAATTTTGAAAATAATGCATTTTTGTTATGAATTATATTTAATGAATCAAACATTTGTTATTCATATCTAATAGGACAAACAGTAAATGTATGAGAAGAAAACATTTGATTTTCATTTATAGCAAAAGCAAATATAATTTCTTGTCAATAATTTCTCTAACAATTATGAATGCTTCACTTGTGCTGTGAAATTTGTTATATTGAACCATTCCTGTGTCATACCTAAGTAGTGCATGTGGTTGAAAGCCTTTGTGATGTAAACAGGACCAGTAAAAATTATTCTGGTGTCCTGTGCGGAACAAACGGCGTCCACTTCCACGCGATCCTTCCCGGGTGGAATTTCCAGATACTCCTGTCCGACCATCATAATGGCGGCGTCGTTTGGTCGTCTGTTGGGAGTGAAGTACAGCGTCATACCAGAACTGTCTACGTAGTCTGCACGCAGTTCGGGATTATTCCAATGAAACTTAAAGAAATAATAATAGAATAATAGAATTCTGACATTCAGGATAAATAAGAAATTCTATTTGAGATTATCAGACAATCAAGATAAACCTAAAAGATGTAAATATGCCCAGCTAAAACAAAAGGGAATCAATGATATTCTTTTGAGTAATCAATAATGCTTAAATAACATTTTATGGAACGTGCAGAGAAATCATATATAATTTGGCATTAAATTCCTTAAATGAAGATTTGCAAAATAGGAATCTTTTAAAATTTATATCAGGACTTTTAATGTTTACAACATTATGTACGTGCAAAAAACTGTTTACATTTTTTTTTTTTTTTTTTTTTTTGAAAAAAAATTGATGTGATACGTGAACTAAATTTCTTATTTGTAAATTTGATACAAATGAAATACTGGATGAAACTCTGCCATTCAGTTCACTGATACGTGACTGAATGGTAGAGCTGTGCCATTCAGCCACCTTTTCAGACCTTTTAGTGACCATTCAACTGAATGTTGCAGGTTCCCCCTGTGAAAAGTAGTCATTTTACCTGCATCATGGCAAATTTGAATCCTTTTTGACCTATCCGGAATCCTACATCTTTGTGTGAACACTCTCCGTTGCCCCCCACGGCCCAAGCCCCAATGATTGTACGGCATTTGTCTGATCCCATTCCACATTCTGTAGGTACTGTCCCTTGAGTGACTAGAAATAAAGAAAAAGTTAACATGATACTATAAATCATGCAATTTAATCAATTGTATTTACTGTGTTATTGACTGACAAATGATAGTGGGAATTTGAAGTTTTTAAGAAGTGATAACCATTTACACGTAGCGCAATTTAGCAAAATAAATGAATTAATATGGGCTCATTGTTCGGTAATATAACCAAAAATTAAAATGGTGTTGTTCCAAAATAAACCTTTTCCAGGTTTTATTTGATATAAAATTAAAACATTTATTCCTTTGTTGATAATTCATCAGATGTCATCAATATATCTTACTTTACTCATCACAGATTTACCCATCATGTTCATATTGGGAACTTGCTGCTTTGTTATGTATATCCCTTATCATTAATATTTTATCTGTATCCGTAGTACGTTTTCCTTTAACTACACCCTTCCTATCAAAAACCCAAATGGAATTCTATTATCAGAAATCCTCATTCGAGCAATACTGACTATAAAATAAGCTAAATTTTAGTGGTTGGGATTGATTTTCAGGTCATGCTTACGTCTCCATTGCACCTTGTTCTGCATCTGGTGTTCCAGTATCAGTTTTTTTTTTTTTTTTTTTTTTTTTTTTTTTTTTTGCCATGTTCATAATCTGTATTACACTGTTCAAAGGATTTATAAGATCACTGTTCGTTATCTTTACAATTCTTGTATAGATGATGTAAAAAGGCTATAACTCAAGAGTTTGAGAGATCGTTGTAATATATGTGTAGAACTCTTTCACCTCACCTGAATCTTCGCATCCAAACAGAAGAATATGATGCATGACGTATTCATTGTCAATGTATGGTGTTGTTGCAATAAGATGATAGTCGCCATCATTAGGAAGTTCAAGGGTCATACAGAAGTAATTTGTTTCTAGATTGGGTACTTTGGTTTGAGGATACCTCAATGTTTTGCTCTTTACATCTGTAAAAAAAAATTACATGATTTATGTTGTTTTTATTCTTGAAAACATAAAAAAGTATCTTTAAATTTACATAAATAACTTGTATTTGAATATATGAATGTAACGAAGTGAATAAATGTGTCTCTGTACACACAATGCTGGAAACAATTTAAACAAATTGTGGAAGTGTAATACACGCTAATGCGTGTATTAATGTAATAGAACTAGGCAAGTGTATATTTAACTTTTTTCAGGAGAGGTGTCGGGAAAAAAAAATGTGGAGGTTCTTCTTAGATTTGAGCAAGATGTTCAATTTGATCTATTTTCTCATTTTAGTTCAACCCTCCCAATTTTTCAGTTTGAGAAACAAAAAATCGTTACTAGCATAGACATATATACATGCACATGTATATATATACCATTCCAATAAATCAAAATACAATTTCAATAACACATGGGGTCACAGATAATTGAAACTTATATCACTTACATTTAATGCCCCAGATTTTCAAAAATAATAATAATAAAAGAAAGAACAACGGCAAACTCTGACCTGGCTGGTTGATGGCGTCACATTTGAAAGTCTCCAACTCACACTGTACCCATGTGTTCTTCGGCCGACAGAGGTCGCTGTTGTATGGTTCGCAGACACCTACATAATTAAGATGTGTAACTTTACATTCTTTCTATAGAAAAGCTGGAAAAGTAGTTTACGACTTATAAGCTTATAAAATAGAATGAAGCAAAAAAAAAAAAACAAAAAAAAAAAAAACAAAACAAAAAAAAACAAAAACAAAAAAAACAAAAAGCAAAAAAAAACAAAAACAAAAAACGACAGTATATAAATAGAACTCAACATGGTAAACAATTGAAATGTCAGCCTTGATAGATCGATTCACTGACATTTGAAAACCTTTACGTAATTACATGCCGTAAGCGAGATAACTCTGACATGTAAATGCGGGATCGGTAAAAAATAAATTCTAAATGTGACGTCTTTAATTTTGAAAAAATGGAATCAGGGCAGTGGGTAGAAAAAAAATAGGTTTGCCTGATATTTTATACTCTGTTATTTAACTTAGATTCTTCGTATTGAGCCATCACAGATTATAGGATCTGATTTTGGCGATTCACATGTTGTTCTGCCATGAACTTAATACTTATTTTGGTATACTTTTAGTAGAAAAAAAAATGATTTCCCAGAATATCACGGATACACTGAAAAAGAGAGATATTATCTTTCAAAGAACTGAATGTATTCAAACGGGTTTTATCTTACCAGGATGAGAAAATGCGTTTTTATCAGGAATAGCGTTTTCCCTCCATACGCAGTTCGGGTCGCCAAGTTCCTCTCCATTGGTTTTACCGTCACCGTCCGAGTCCTTCCGACACAACTCCTGCGTCCAAATCTAAAATGAAGTAAATAAATACTTTCTAATATGGTATTTCCTAAATGTGTCATTTCTTAGTCTGCATTGGTTATAAATAATTAGGAAAATATCTGAAGGAGGAATAAGTTGTTTTTTTTTAAACACACAGATGGAAGAAAATTCTATCTTTATGCTATTATGTATAAATATAAAAAGATTAAAGCTAGTTCTATCATAATTTAGAGAATCTCGATGGTTCTTTTAAGTTGTTTTTCACTTTCTAACTTTTAATATCGCTCTCGCTCTCTCTCTCTCTCTCTCTCTCTCTCTCGTTTATAATCTACGCCTTCTCTTCCTCAAAATCGTTAACTCCATGTATTTAAATGCTAAATGCAGATTCAAAAGTCATGGCCGTAGGAACCTGGGGGGGGGGGGCACGGGGGGCCGTGCCCCCCCCCCCCCCCCAATAATTTTGCCGAGATATAGATTACTATAGAAAACATAGCTACTATATGCTTGTGCCCCCTCAATTAAAACGTATGATGACTTTTTTTTTTTTTTTGCCTGTCAAGGAATTTTGGTAGTTGATAGTGCCCCCGCAACTGAAAATGTATAACTGTGCCCCCCCCCCCCCCAATGAAATTGCTTCCTACGGGCCTGAAAGTACGAGGGTTGATCCAAAAGTTCGTGGAATTTCTAAATAATTTCTTTATCTATTGGTGGAAGTGATTGAAAATTACAGATGGAGATATATATGGACTTTTGAGCTTGAATACTGTTCGTTATCTCCATATATTTCATACACTTGTTGATTTTTTTAAATAAAAAAATATTTTAAATATTCATTCAGTAACACGTTGGCAGTTGCCATAGAAACAGATGTTTGAAAATGAGACATTTATTCGTTTCAATACTTAACACTCACTCTGAGGGGAAAAAAACACGTTAAGTAGCATATGAAACGAAAATGGTGTCATTATTACGATTGCTTGACCTCTTAGAAACCTTTGTGTGAAAGTTTTATCGATTTAACTGGATATTTAGTTTTTCTATTGATGACTTGTTTTTCATCATGACATCGTTAGACAACGTTGAAATTCGGTCAAGTAATAACTAAAGTTTTGTGAAAATCTCGGGAACACTCCGACTTAAACGCATGTACTAATGATACAGGCAGGACAAAAGTGCAGTAAGCCACTGCATGGCTTTCCAGTGGCGTGAGAAATTTAAGGAAAATAGAACTTCTGTGGAGAATGATGAAAGGTGTGGCCGCCTATTGGAAGGTCAGTTTTTCCTCGTAGACAAATTGAGATCGTTAATGGACGTGGACCGCCGACGTACTGTGGTTGACATTGCTACTGAAATAGGAACATCATATGGAACGATGGAACGTATTTTAATAAAAATGATCGTAATAAAAAGAAAGTGGGTGCGAGATGAGTACCCAGGCTTTTCTTGAGAGCAGAAATGGAGAAAAGAATGCAGCATTCTGTAGAATTTCTAAGTCCATGGACTTAAGGGTGAGATGCTCCTACAACGTGGCGTGACATACCTAATGACGTTACGTCGAAGTCTCCCCCGGATTTTACAACAGTCCATGTTAAGAAGGCTCCTGTGACCTTAATGGTAATTGGAACTTGGTGAAATTTTCCAGTATTGTTGCATACTGGATCTATTTTATAAATATGTCTATTGTTTGCTTTAATCACATTACGATAAAATTTTAGAAAGAAATTCCACAAACTTTTGGATCAACCCTCGTAAATACATGTAAGAGGTAGAGTTAAAAGAAGACGGGTGAACAAGGCGTGCAGAATGCCTATAGCTTCAGATATTAAAAAAATCAAATACAATTTGTGAATAAGTATTTAAAGTTCTCATTATTGAAATTTATGAAATTAAGTTCAACAAAACTTTTCTGAGAAAAAAAGATCTCGGAAAGAATTATTCTTTTATTAAAAAATAAATTGATATTCGTGGGATTCGAACCCTAGCAATAAAAATCCGTATTATGTATTATATTGCTTTGAGACTAACACGCTAACCACTACGCTACACAGCTCATGATGAATAGTGGCATTTAAATCTTGTTTGTGATATGAACCTTGACTTAATGGACCTCAAGTATTTCTCGGAAAGATGCGAATGATTTGTCATAAAAGTGTACTTTTAAGGTATAGTGGGTCTTTGCTCCATGTTTTTGTAAAATAAAAAATGTATATTTTAATGCAAACTTTTAGGACTAATTTTCAAAAAAATGGAGCGAAGACCCACTCATATCGAAAAATTTTGTTAAAGTATGAGAAAATGGTCCTTTTTGTCCTCTTTAGTGTGTGTATGCTCTTTCAAAGGCAAATAATTTCAGTCTTTGTAAGATTTTTGTAAATTGGAGGGATTTTACATAAAATATACTTTAATATTAGATGAAATATCAAAGAAAATTTTAATATAATCGAGATTTTATTTTTCACTTCATGTTTGTCGCTCTATAGGCACTTCGCCCGTCTTGTTCACCCATCTTCTTTTTAAGCCATTAGCCTGTTTGTTTTGAGAGATCTAGAATGCTCAGTTATACAGATATATTTGTTCAAGGAAAAAATTGTCAGATGGCAAATTTGTTCATGTCTTTTCGTGAATTCATGTTTACTGGAAGAACAAGACGGTTTTACAATTCATAGATTTTTTTAATAAAAAAAGAAAACAATTGCGAAAAGTGACAATGAATAAAGAAATTATTCTTTCACGAAACTAGAATGCAGCAACAAATATAACATCAACAAAAACATGCCATGAATATTTTAGTTCACCGCACAGCAATAATGTTATTTACGCATTGAAATTCTAATAAAACGTAGCTATTGAATAGAAAAACAGTGTGAATCGTCCCACAGCGAAGTAATAGGATCGACCAGATCCCTTTAATAGTATTGAATCGTCCTTATTGCTGACCCTGTGATCTGTCTATTTACTGATACAAATATCAAGGAGGCTTTAAATGAAGTGATTTAAAGTTTCCTGCAAAAATATCTGTTAATAGGAATGGACATGTATGTTATAAAAGACCTCACTTACTAGTGTGAAAAATATATGAAAATTGTTTATAAATTTAATTTCCAAAGCAGGGAATTTAATGGATTAAAATACAGCGTTTTTGTTTTGTTTTGTATTGTTTTTTGTTTTTTGTTTTTTTTGGTTTGTTTGTTGTTTGTGTGTTTTTTGTTTTTTGTTTTTTTTTTTGTTTTTTTTATTGTTTTGTTTTTTGTTTGTTTTTTGTTTTTTTTTGCAACAATAAAAATATCAAGCGCGGATCTGGGGGGGGGGGGTCGGGAGGGGGGTCAAGACCCCCCCCCCCTTAGAATTTGCAGAGTTATAAAAAGTATATACTGAAGCAAATGAAAAATGACTTTGGATCCCCCCTAGAAAACGTGGACCCTACCATCGCCACCACGAAATAGGTGTTTTTCACGTTTGGGAAATGGAATTAAGGGGGGGGGTGTTTTTGGGTTTTTTTGGGGGGGGGGGTGTTTTTTGTTTTTTTGTTTTTTGTTTTTTTTGGCTTGTCAACAAATTTTCTGGGTTTTAATACGTTTAGGAAGGGAATTTACGCTTTTTCTGGTTGGAATTTTGTTTTTGACTGGGTCGAACACCCCCCCCCCCCTTCTTATAAAAAATTCTTGGATCCGCGTCTGAATATTATATAATAATAAATTTCAACATGCATTCTTATTTAATCAAAGAACATATATTTCAAACATATAAAGCGACAATAATTTGTTCTCAACCAAAACCGTAAATCCTGATTTATTTAAACTCCATCCAAATCCGAATCGTGAATTCTAAAGGTCTGTTATCATCACAACCATCGATGGTATAAAAGTTAGAATACTCTTCATAGATAATTCTAATTTGGTTTAAGTTCTTAAAAAAGGACATAAAAAATGTATTTAGTTTGGTTACGATATACATCAAAAGAAAAAAAAATAATTATATTATAATATTTATATTTTTTTTTTCTTTGGCCCAAAAGATCCTCCAATTAATATTAATTTTGAATGAAGTTATTTTTTGGTTCTGATACATGTACTTGATAAAAAGAATATGTTTCCGAAATTTATCTTTCAAAAGATTATGTTAATTTGATGACAATGCATTCAGGGCACGCCCTCGTATTTTTCATACGTCGGACGCTATTCGTTGTAGTTCGACAACCACTTTAGGGTATTCGATTCCTAGAACCTTATTTTCTATCCTTAACTTCTATCGTGTATGATATAATTTAACATTAATTTAAAACATTTTAGAGTAGAAAAGCATGTAAGAAGAGAATTTTTCAAAATTGTAATTACATAAGGGGCACGTTGTAGGCGGATCTCCGCGCGTTTTTCACCGTTGAAGAGGACCAGTTTAGATGATGATAAAGAAGTTACCACTGCACAACATGAAACGAGTAAAGCATATAAAGAATTGACCACTTCATATAAAGAATTAACAACGACATATAATTATTATCCACCTCATATATAGATGTTATCACTGCACAGCATGATTTTAAAATATATATAATAATTTACTACATAATATAATGATATTGGTACTGCACATAATAAATTTTTTTCAATTCATGTAAAAGTGTCGCACTGAATAAAATGAACTTGACACTGCACATGCAGCGTGTTTCATTTAATGTAATGATTGCACTCTCACACAAACTATGTTTATAAATGTATATATTGATCTTATCACATCATAGAAAGATTTCATTAATGTATATAGTGGAATAGCCACTGCATATAATGATTTTACAGTATAATGTAACGGTACTATCACTTCATTACATTATTGTTATCGTGGCTTTAGGGTTCTTATTTAATCTTATTTAATATACCCCCAAAGAAAATTTAACAAAAAAAATCTTTACGTACAAGCAATATTACAATTTATGATTTCATAAAATAAGAATTATAGTCAAATGTAAATTAAATAATATATTAGTTTATCTAAACGATACTGAACAAATGAAGCATTGCATGCAAGTATGT